ATCAAAATTCTGCGAACAATAACTTAACTATCGACAGAAACATGAATAATGTTAATGACGAGGTTTAAGCAAGACACTGCTATTTTCTTACAGAATAGACGAAATCTATGGTGTAAAAATATCTCAATGCTTGCAATTCTAAACAGTAACATTATTTTTTTATAGCACTCCTCAATCACTGCTTTCTATCAATTGACACCATGTTTTTTTATTTTATAACATGTGGCAGAAAAAAACGTTGACAAAAATATTATATTTCTATTTAAGAAGAAAACAGTTTTATTGATTCTTGTTTTTAATAATTGATTTTCGTAGTTTTTTATTCACTTATATACCAGAAAATCAAAAGTTTTTTTTATAATAAAAATTCCAGCTAATAATATTTTCTTGCAGATCAAAGCGTTGGATTTTAGCATAGTATATATCTTTGAATAGATTCATGATATCAAATATTGATGACATGTACTACATCTATGAAAATATCGTTAGAACTCTTATTTCATTTTATGTTCTAGCTTTCAATTAAACTTGTTGGTTGCAACTTATATAATATGTTCCATTGTTTTTTAAATAATTTCTGGTAGGGATATAATAAAAACCAACAGCCTTCACCATTTAAGAGAGAAGACCCAAAACCATCGAATTATATTGAAATTCAATTGATCAACAGTTGACTAATTAGATGAAAACTGTGTGAGGATTTTCGAGAACGATGTTATAAGCCTTTTTTCCTTTGCTGTAGACTTTCATAAGACTAGGCAACAGAGAGAATTCTTCTCTTTCAATCTATCCAAGGAGCACATTTCTAGCTTGTTGTGTTCGAGAGTTATGAGGCGTTTCCTGAGAAACCCCAATTTCAGCTAATTGATCTTTGATTACTCGGAAAAGTAGCTTGATAGTAGTGGCTCATCGTGTTGAGTCAATGCTGATATTTGCTGTTGTGTTACAGCTGACTTGACAATGTTAGCTGAATATTTCTGAAATACCAATTCCTTCGTTACATATAGAGACTGTTTGTGGAATTGTAGAAATATTCAGAGAACAAGATCAAATTAATTTGAGCCAAATACAAATATCACGATTGGACTGAGCATATTGGAATTATTTCTGCCTAAATGCTTTTCTGGATGATCATAGATCGATTGGTTGATATTGGGAGCTTCGGGAAAAATTTTATAGCTTTCGAATGGAACAAACAAGGAATATCGACCGAACGTAGACCAGAAGAAAGATAACTTTAGAATATCGTTTTCGAAAATCTTTACCAAGTTCTCACCTAACTGGCCAATTGCTGATAGATCAAATTTTGATATACTTTGATGACTCTGAGTGTTCTCTCTTAAATAGTGAAAATCACAGATCTCTCCAAGGTTGCTATAAAAAGTTATTTAAGAAACAATGAAGCACATCATATTATAAAATAGATAATAGATATTTTTTTTAAATAAATAGACACGACCACGACTCCAGTGTATGGCAAACAAAGTTTAATTTTATGATAGATCGCCAGATAGTGACAGATAAGAATACAATGAAGCAAAAAAACAAACAAGACTTTTCTGTGTCTAGATAATATTTGGTAGAAAAGAGATAGATGACGATTTCGAGGGCTAGACGTGTGACAGAAAAGGTAACAAGTGAGAAGAAAGCACATCTACACAATTAAACTATTTCTTTGCTAAATATTTTTGTATGTTTTCATACAGTATGGCAATGAATAAATTCAATGCTATGGAATCAAATTCAATGAAATCCCTTACTGATTGTTTGTATTTTATGAATGGTCATTGCAAATTTGGTGAAAAATGTATGTATCGTCATTCGTTGAAAGCAAAAAAACAATTAACTCGGTGTAATAAATGGCCTGATTCATGCCGAAAAATACAATGTTCATTTCGACATCCCGTCATTATGGCACAACCAAAAGTAACAACATCAAATACGTTGACATCACGACTGTCGAAAGATAACTTAGTTAGTTTCTTTTGGAATATTGAAAATGTTCCTATACCTAAAGGACAAAAACCTTTTGATATTATTCAACGTATTCGACAAAAACTAGTTATCGAACCTAGTTTACAAGAAGCTGCTTTTTCTTGTTTTTGTAATATATATTCAATATCACAAGATAATCAACAAAGTTTACATCATGCAAATGTTCGTATTATTCATGTACCTGATCGAAAACCAGGTGCTGTTGATCGACAAATCATGCTTGAATTAGATCGTTTTGAACGTGTTCATCGTCCACCAGCTACTGTTGTTCTAATTTCTGGTGATATTGATTTTGTTGGAAAACTAAGTGATCTTCGTCATCAAGCTGGATTTCAGGTCATTGTTATACATAATATGCCTGCTAAAGAAGAACTAAAAGCAATAGTTAATGCTCACTATTCATGGGAACAATTCATCAATAAACAAACAACTGTAATAGTTCCCAGTTCTTATTCTAATGGCAAGGAACGTGAATACATATCAGCAAATCGTAAAAATCCTAAGAAAATGAAGCAAAGAAATGTATCTCAACGTTGTCCTATGTGTGAAGCTGAGTTTAACACAATAGAACAACTTCGACAACATCAAGAAGATACAAGTCATTTATTTAATTGTCCCGGGTGTAATCGTGGCTTTTTTACACTAGAAGGTCAACTTCAACATCAAAAATCCAAGAATCATGTTCTATGTGAGGACAAACAGAAGTATACTCAAATCTATACTAATGATTGGTCACATGCAAACAACAAATTTAATGATGAAGATTCACTTTCTTCAGACAGTTGGTCTACTATATCCGATACAGATAGTAGTAATTAATTTTCATCAAACAATATCGTTAATCAAGGTGTCGTCGAAATTGTGCGAAACTTTTTCAACTGTTTGTTTAATACAATGAACTGTCAAGAAATTTCTCTAGTACTTTTTTTTTCTTTTTCTAAAAATAAAGAACATCATTCTGTTCTACTGTGAATTCATGTGAAAAATTTTCTTTTTTTTTATTTTAATACTTGCATGTATAATGTTTCTTCATTTAGTTTCATCATAGAAATAAATAAAAATGTATTATATGTTTATTTACAATCAGATAACACTTCTTTCAAGAGTCAAAATAAATAATTGTGAATAGAAGATGTTATAAATAGTATTATTAAAACCATAAAGTCATACAATTAGAAAAACCTTTTTTTCTATCTAGTAGACGTCACATGTAAAAGGAACTTGACATCGTTCATCTAAAAGGAAAACAAGTAACTGATTTATTTTCAAATATTTAAACTGTTTATCGTTGTCTAGTTAAGTATGAAAAACTAGTCTGATTTTTATGAGAAAATGATTATTTTTAATTTGATTCAATTTCGTTTACAGAGTTGTATATCTTCAGTCAACATTTTCTTATTGTATATGCATGGAATTCGAACTGAAAATAAATGGGTGGTATTTATTGTTGATTTTTATGAGTATTACGATATCTCGACGATAGTGCAACATGGGTGATAAGCATTAAATATCATAATATAGAATGTGTTATAATATTTGTCGAAGAGTTTTGAAAAAGAATGTTGAATTGAGGCCGCACGTTTCACGTTCTCCTTTATTCACCTATCCTACATTATAAAAAATATTCATGTTTTTTTTCTTCCTTCCTTTTTTTCTCCCTGCCTTCCAGCATTTTATATCTTATTTTTCTATTTTTGCTGTTCTTACTACTGCCACAACCGGTTGTCGAGTTGATAGAAGTCAATAAAATTATCATGCGCATTGGTTTAGCTCAAAAAAACATTATAATAGTATACTTGTTGCCATACTACAATTCAAAAACAATGAGCACATCGGCAAAGAAAAATTCTATATCATTAAAAATTTTCTTGTTTCTTTAGATTTCTATTTAACATGGCTCAACCGATGGATAGCAGTTCTGAATCTGATTTAAAGCATTTAATTGATTGTATCCATTTTATAAATGGTTGTTGCATGTTAAACGATAATTGCGGTTATCGTCATTGTCGTGAGGCTGCTGAACAAACAAAGCATTGTACAAAATGGCCAACAACATGTCGTAATACTGCATGCCCTTATCGACATTGTGCATTAACATTTCAAGCAATTAAAAAGAAACCGAACCAAATAGTAGAAACACAAGTGAATCAATTTTGTCAACCGCAATCACAAATATTACCAATAATACGACAAGAAGGTTTTATAAGTTTCTTTTGGGATATTGAAAATGTTCCTATACCTAAAGGACAAAAACCTTTTGATATTGTTCAACGTATTCGACAAAAATTAGTTGTTGAATCTGGTTTACAAGAAGCTGCTTTTTCTTGTTTTTGTAATATATATTCAATATCACAAGATAATCAACAAAGTTTACATCATGCAAATGTTCGTATTATTCATGTACCTGATCGAAAACCAGGTGCTGTTGATCGACAAATTATGCTTGAATTAGATCGTTTTGAACGTGTTCATCGTCCACCAGCTACTGTTGTCTTGATTTCTGGTGATATAGATTTTGTTGGAAAACTAAATGATCTTCGTCATCAAGCTGGATTTCAAGTCATTGTTATACATAATAAACTAGCTAAAGAAGAACTAAAAGCAACAGTAAATGCTCATTATCCATGGGAATTATTCACTCAACAACAACAACAACAACAACAACAACAACAATCAGTAAGAATAACAAATCAGTTATATCCAACTGGCAATGAACGACCAAATCGTATGCGTCATTCTAGTAGTTCTGGTAGTATTCGTCGAAGAGATCCATCACCATATCCATCTAATAGACAAGTACCGATTATTAATAATCAAGATATACAAAAGTTAAAATGTCCAAAATGCCCAAGGGAATTTGAATCCATTCAAAGTTTACAATATCATCAAAATACTAAAAATCATTTATTCAATTGTCCTGTTTGTAAGGAAACTTTTCTTACACAAACAGGTCAAATTCAACATCAAAAAGATAAAAAACATAATGTTCGTGATTATAGATGCAATCAATGTAATCGGTATTTTTCTAAAATTGAAAGTTTAAATCAACATCAACAAGCTACTGGACATATATCACCATTGATGCAATTAACAGATAATAGAAGATTTAGTCTTCAAGCAACTTCATCACCATTGTTACCTTCAAGTAATCATGATGAAAATAAGGATGATCAAGATCCTATGCTAATTATTCTGCGAGGTATTGAAAGCATAAAACAATATTATGAAAAGCATGGTTTAAGAATTGATTGATTTTTTTTCCTAAGCAAAACTCATTCTTTTACTATTATTCATTCAAAAATTCCCAATAGAGAATATCAAATAATCATTCAATACTCAATAGATATTTGAATATTAAATGGTTCATTGATAAATCTTATGTATTTTTGAATGAATACTAATTAGCATTCAAATTTTAATTAGCATGTAGTAAAAGAATGAGGAAAAAAAGAATCAAAATTTTCGCTGTAAAATAATCTTCAAACAAAATAAACTATTTTTATACAAATGTATTCAATTAGTTTATTTTTGTTTGAAAAAAATTCATATTTTACTGCTACAACTCAATTATAAAATTTTGTTGAAACAGTAAAATAAAAAAAAAAACATATAAATAGTGCGCAGTGTTTTTCTTAACATATTCATGTATATATCAAACAGTGAATTATTCGAATTGAAAAGTGAACAATGTCGTGTCTAACTAATTGACATTTCTTTTTTTTTTCAAGAAATGTTGTACTCAAATTCGTTTGATTCGATTGTTTGTTATATATTTGCTTATATTTTTTTAACTTTATATTATTCGATTAAAAGAAATTTTCATTTTGTACTAACTCGTGTGTGTTTCTTATAAATAAAAGCAACTAAATATAAGATGGAATATTTCTTTCTGAGTTCATTCCAACAATTTTCAAGCAGAGTAAGTTTCCAAATGATTAATCTTGTGACTAAAATATAGAAATTTTTCTTGTTCTAATCATGTTCATACGTGTTTTTGTAAGAATGGAATATGAACTTCAGACTCAATTTGAGTTGTTCTCGAATCTGAAAATCTTATTTGTTTACTTATGATAGACTTACCTTTTCCTTCGCATATGGTTATTCACTGAAAACTAGAAGTTTTATAAATGTATAGATTATTATCAGAATTTATTATTCTTGCATACAGTAACAGTTATTTCTTCAACACTTGCATAGATTATTGAATCAGCATATTACTCGGCACTTGTAAAATATCAGATGCTATGATTTAAATTTTAATAAGAAACTATGATAATATTGTAAAGCTCTTTTTGTAAAAGTTCCAAAAAATCTGAATGAATAACACACAATTTAGAAGTGATGATTTCGACTGTTAACCTCGACGCAGTTGACAACAACAATGTAGACATTTTTGTGAAAAAATGAGAATGATATTTTTTTTCTTCTAATTTCTATTATGTGGAATATACATGTATAGGAAAGATGAGTACAAAACGAGAGATGAGGGTAAGCATACAAAATGGATTCTGTCGATTTCCTCACACCCACACCCAGACCCAACTTTCACAGAATGTTTTACTCTGTCTGACATACCTACTTAGTTAGCATAAAGATGCATAAATGTTTCTAGATGGATATATAGGTTATCTATAAAACCGTCATTTTGAAAAGTTCTCCACATTTAGTTGTTTCAGAAGTGCTTTAAGAGTGAAATAAACATATATTTGGAATCAACACGAAAAAATTGTATCGAATGATGTGTCATTGGTTCATTTTTAAAATAAGTTCTTTTCCGATAAAAAATTTCACTTTTGTCCTCATCATTCTTTGTATTGAATACTGGGAATTAATATTTCTATGGAAAAAAAGCATGAGTTTTTGACAAAAGATAAGACATGTACATGTTCTCTATAGAAATTCCTCACTGTGCCTTTGTTGTGTGGTATTAATAGGCATGTTTTGAAATAAAAATAGGAAGCATAACAATTGTTAACCCTTATATTCTTGTAATGAATGTTATTGTAATAAAAACTATTTGTTGCACGTTCCTTCCAGAACATGACTATCAGAACGATCAAAAAAATTAACCCTTATCCCATTACTGTTGTATTGAATATTATCGTTTAACATTTTTGAAACATATAGAATAATCATGTTTTGATTTTTTACTATTATATGAGCCAATATTCTCTAGAATTTTACTATTAATTTGAAGAATAAAATTACACTGTGCTGCCTACACTCTTTTTATTGATAATATAAATCGATGGCTTTATGACACATTAGTTTTCATACTATCCATGAAATAGGAAAAATGAACCTGACACTGTTCAAATTTCAAGTTGTAGAACTGTCGATTCAAGTTCGAAGTAAAATCCTACCGTGAACCTTTTATCAATTTAAATACGAAAAAATTAACTTTCCATCAATTTATAGTTTTTAATAAGCCACAGTCGTATCTCTTAAGTTTATTATAATAAAAAATTCCTATTAGATGACCTCCAGGTGGTACCAGTAAATTATAGGCAACAGCTGTCTTTAATGCTATACCAGTTTAAATTAGTATACCGAACATCATTAGATTTTGCAGAATTCAAATGTGAAACACGATGTAACTACTCTGACTAGTTACAGGAAGATTATTTTATCCTATCTATTTTGGAGCATTTTTCGTCACTATCATCTTACTTCACCTTCCAGAAATATAATAAGGAAGTAGTTCATATATCTTAACGAAACCTTATTGATATACAATCTGTGAACAGCAGACATAAGATAAATTTTTATCTCAAGTCGAAGTTAATCATAATGATAGATAGAGTTAATAGTGTTATTAAATAGTTTGTCAAAGTTTTTGCAAGCCTTTGATGTCGTACTAATAATATCTCCTGAATATGTCTTCAATTATTATCTTTCAGAATATTTTCTTCTGATGTATGTTAAAATCCATACTAGAAATTGTAAGCGTACTTAACTACAACATCTCTAATATTTCTTATCATTTTTGAAACAAAAAAAAACAGTATATTAGCAAAATATCGATTAACTACAAATAGAACAGACTATCCGTTGTTAAACAGATTTCTATTATAGAATGCGTTTTTCGACATATCGTCAATAATAATAATAAATTGAAACCAGAGATTCTATCGCGGTTGGAAATCTGCAGCTGTCGTGACACTTGCCGCGATAGTTGTCGAGAAATTCTTCGAAATTCCCTTCTGTCACTATGCTAAATTAGCCCAGTTGAGTTGAATTCATCACGATTATGACTGTTAGACCTGAAGACATTTAAAACGGATGCAAACTCTTGTAATTTTACAGTCTTCCTAAAAAAAGACACTGTCGCGATGACGACACTATAGGAGGTTGAGTCGCTACACAAAATTTTTAAAGTTGTCGCTAAAGTTGATCCAACAATGTAGGGCTCATTCTTCCTCCTCGACACCAAAACTCCTGGTGTCGTCGCTAGAAACAATAGAAGCTAATAGAAAGCGTCAAAAAAAGAATTATGATAATTTATCATTAGTCAATTCTTTAAAAATTATTTAAATATCCTTCGATTACTTCCATCTCAAGTTCTTTATTTCATAAAAGAACCTATGCAATAAAAATAAGTGAATCACAACTAAGATTACAATGAAAAAATAAATCCCATAGCCCATATATAAAATAATACTGCGCAAAAAGCTATAATAATTAAATTTTATTTGTTTTGATTTGTATTAACGCTGCCGTTGGATATGTCAATAAATCATATGATTAACAGAATGAATATTATGATGTTGTTTGATTAAAGTTACAAGTCACTCCTATGAAAACGAATAACAAGAAACAGGAAAAGAAAAATTTACGATCGAAAGAAAATAAAAATATTGTTTTACATTTTATAGTGACTAGAGAAACAAATAAAAAATGGAAATTTTTATGCTATTTTATTTTTATGTTTATTTAATCGTTCGATTTTGTTCATCTGACTGACAAAAATCCAATGTCGAATTTGTACCATATAGCAAAGATTAATTTTATGTATCACTATTTAAGTTATTATTATTAGATAAATTTTTTGTTAAAGAACTATTCTGGCAAGTATTATTACGTGAACGATCATCATCCTGTTGAACAAGTGTAACGTAACAATTTTTTGATGATAGTGATGATCGTTGTTCATTATTATCATGTTCAATAGATAAATTATGATTATGATCGCTATTATTATGTAGATCCTTTATTTCATTTGATAGATTTTCTTGTGATTGTGGACGTAAACGTTGGACAACAGTTAATATTGCTATTAAAGTGAATGATGTTAGAATAAGCATTGTTGCCATCATTATATGAAGACGATTGAGAAGTAATGAAGCAAATAATGGACCAACTATAGACATAAAAAATAGAAAAGAAATTCAAAAATAAATCTTTCTAATTTTCTTGCTTCAGCAAAAAATAAATACAAATTCCGTAAATTTTGATAAGAAATAATCCTCATAAATGAGTTTTGTCATTAAACAAATACAAACAAAAAAAATTTTCGGTTTTCATCTAAAAATATACGGCAATCCTTTTTTTTCTCTATGTACAAACTCTATGGCTTAAAAATATAACTCTCTCTCTCTCTTAAAACCAACTATCTTACCAATAGTTCCAGTTCCCATAATAAATCTTTGTAAACCTTGTGAAAATCCTTGTAATTCTTTTACTGTTAATTTAGTAAAGAGTGATACACTCGTAGCTGCTATAAATGGTAGAGCAAGTAAATCAAGAATAACAAAAACAATAAATAATGAAAGTAAAGGTTTATTCACAGCATTTATATTTGAATGAATAAACCAACCAAATAAATTTGATGCGATTGTAAAAAATGTTCCAAGTATACAAGCTAATGTTAATGATATGAAACCAAATATAAGTAATATTCGATCTTCAAAATGTTTTGAAAAAAATTTCACAAGTGATATATAAACAATAAGTATTTCTAAACCAGCAAATGCAAATAAAATTGATGTATGTACAGTTGTCCAATAAAAATGTTTTTCTGTAAATGCTGCTACTATTGTTTCTAATGCTGTTTGATTAAAATAAGTTATAAATGTAGCAAGAAATAAAACAAACATTTCAATACGTATATATTGATTAGAATATCTTTTTAATGATACACATTGTTCTTCTTGTCGTATGAGATGATCTGATTTTTTATATTTATGTTTATGTGAATCATTAGTTAAATGTGTTGATGATCTTCGATCATAAAAACAAAACCAACATACTAT